GCTTAAAAGGTGCTTTATGAGATTACACTTTTTGATTGTATTTTACTGATTTTACTTTGCCTCTTTATAGCATATTGTTGTGTTTAACGTTAATGCTTGTCTCTCAGTCTTCATTTATTATTATTACTCACTGAGTTGGAGTAGTCACTTTACATCCCTGCACCCTTGTGTGCAGATTCGGGCGCTACAGGTCCTGCTTGCGAGGGTTGAGAGCTTCTAGCAGACTTCGGAGATTCACTAGATAGCTGCTCGGCGTTTTCGCAGCCCTGTGCTTCTCCCTCTATCTTATTTTCTCCCGTTCTAGTTATGTAATAGTGGCGTAGACTCTTTCAGACTTGTAGTTTTTATGATAGATGCTCATGACTAGTGACACCCCGATGTCGGGCTGTGCTTGGTTGTTTTCCGCGAATTGTGCTATTCACTTTTATTTTTGGATTATTATTATGTTAAAGACTTAAATTGTGTTGCTTTAGTTGTTTAAAATGAATTGTGTTATGTCGGCTGGCCTTATTTTCACGAGAGACGCCATCACGATCGGGTCTGGATTTAGGGTCGTGACAGTTACCCGCTTTATTTTTCAGTTTGTACTACACAAATAAAAGAATACCACAATAAAGTGGATGTTTATTGATATAAAAATCCATATCATAATTTATCCAGTTGGCATAATTGGTCTAGCCATGTTAATTTAAGTATGATGTGCAAAAAAATAAAAGAGAATTCACATGGGTAAATATTAAAGAACTAGAAAGTTCTTTATGAATTCTCTTATGTTGTCGTTCTCATTAACTAATAGATCAACTGAAATTGGGATTGAATCCCATGAATGCTGAAAATATCAAAGGTGAATATGAGCCAATTCCCCTGCCATATTATGAGATGGTTATATGTGCTATTATTATTAACCCACAACCTGGTGTTTGCGAGGTAACTTGCTCAATAATTTAATTTCGAGCATAATTTCATATTTTTTTATTCAAGACAGTTCATCTTGATAAGTTGGTTTACGTCATAGTTGATTTAGCAAAATAATTTATTGAGTGCCTCCACTTAATAGTTAAATTGTTGCTTATGAGCACATAGGGCTTCGGCGCTACTACAGCGCTTCGCTAACTCGAAGCGCCTTGCTATGAGAATCTAGCTTCGCTAACGCTCGGCTACAAAGTTATCTTTATCGATTTGATATACGTTATATACGAAAGTATATTACACTCCCCCCTCACAAGTGGTTCGGGTTCAGGAACCAAATATTCCATCTTATTATTATTGATGTGCGGTGTGTATTTTGATTAACACCATAACGCACAAAGGTGAACTTTCAAAGTTGAGGAAGCAAGTTAGTTTTTCTAACATGAGGGGGAGACGTGATAAACAGTTGAGAAAAAGTTACGTGGAATGAATTATCATTTATACATCCAGATCATCGAATAAGATAATATGAACTTAAAGTTCATAAAAAGATAATTCATTTGCAATATATTGCAAAGCATGCTAGTTGCATTTGCTGACCCAAAGAAAGTAAGTATATTCTCACTGCAAATGCTCCTATTAGAATAAGTCCTAGAAGGACAAAGTCTATGGTACGCCTAAAGCATATAGACAAATCGGTTTCAAATAAATCTTCTTGATAAAGAAGATGAGCAAATGATCATAATAAGGAGGCAAGTGATCTAGAAGATCACATGACATAACACTTCATAAAATCTCGGGAGAGGTTCAGGTACCTGAAAATATGAATGAAGAGATCTCTATGTTGTCTTTATGGGAAAAAATGAGGTTGCAACCGATATAAAATATTTGTCGACGACATCTATAATAGTGTTAAATATAAATATATATGAGGATCTTAAGTTTGGAGAAACAATTCAAGTAGAATTGGTTTCATATGAAAGACATGTTGTTTTGGACCTGCAGTTCAAACACTTGAAAGTATAAAGTTAATAGTGTGTGCAATCACTTTTATCTATCTTAGATGTCTAGCATAACATGAAAACTTGATATGAATCTAAAGTTTATTTAAATGACTTAACTTATATGGCAATCCCTAAAGGATTTTAATGCTTAAAGGTTATGCAATTCTTGGCCCCGAAGTACCATATCCTAGGTGAAATTTGTGCACACATGTATCTTGCTATAATTATAAGCATGATAATCTGATAGCGAGAATTGTTACCTCAATGGAGATATTGAAAAGGTCATTCCACGACACTATAGAAGACATTACAAATCTATCAAGAATGATGATTTCACGGTGCAACATATTAATTCAAGTTAATATGGATGATTTGTTTGTCAAATATCTACCAGCGATTTTTTGAAGATGTTTAAGATTGGAATGCAAAGATGCAAATATTTGAATTGATGTTCTCATCAGGGGGAGTTAATGCGCGTTGTACTCTTTTTTCCTTACAAGGTTTTGTCCCACTGGGTTTTTCTTGCAAGGTTTTTAACGAGGCAATCAAAGGGAAACTTACACAAATGTCCCAAATAAATGTCAACTTACCAACCTCTAGCCATTAGTCATAGACTTACCAAAACTAGCTAACAAAAATTGAAAAACCAAATAATAGGGTTCTTTCTCTCAAAGAATCACATGCAAAAATCACCTTCCATATTTTTAAGTGTGATTAGCAACATTAGATACAAGATGGAAAAGAAATTTCATGGACGGGGTAGCAAATAAGGTGATGAAATACAAAAATCTATACAAAAATTCCAAAAATCTAAACAAAAAAGGAACTTTTTCAATGGGTATAGTTGAAATTCATTGAAAATATATAGATAAGTCAATATACAAAATTTGAGGAAGATTGGAGGTGATTTGGAGTGGTATTGTATCAAAATTCATAATTAAATCGAGTTCAAAAAAGTCTTCTGCGACACATGTATCAAACATGTATCACGCATGTATCTCACACACAGGTATACATGGATATACATGTGATACACAATTGATACAAATATGATACATATGTGATACACATATCATTTTTTTCATGTTCAGCTTTTACTTCGAATTTTCAATACAAACCACCTCAAAACTTCACCAAATCATCCCAAAACTGAGATTCAAGCTCCTTAAGTTGTGCCCAATCTATTCTAATAACACCCACTCAAAACAAAGCAAAAATTTGATATTTTTTTGCTACAAATAGCTAATTGGCTAATTTGGCTAATATTAGTAATATTTTATCAATTGGCCAATTTTTGTAATGAGCTACCTATAAATGGACATAGCTGGTAATTTCCCCAATCAAAAGGCGTATGTTAGATATGTGTAATCTTTTCCTGTACTAGAATTTTTTTCCCACTGGGTTTTACTTCAGTTAAGGTTTTAACGAGGCACATTATCTGTTGGATAGACATTCAATGGGGAGTGTTATAAATAGAATTGTATTTAAGGTAAATGTCTATAATTACAGAGATTTTAGGGATTTTACTTGGTAGCTAAGTCACTCTTTCCCTATAAATAAAAGGTCATGTTCAATTGGAAATCATCCCAAATCAATAAAATTCTCTCTCTTGACTATGCACTGCAGTATTCTTTCTTCTTTATTATTTCGTAACCAAACCAGAATTTATCAATAACTGAGTGTTTTAAAAAGTGCAAATTATCCCTACTAATATTTACGTTAGTTCCAATGATCAAACTTTAATGAAATCATCTATAGTGCCGAAATTAAAGTGGGGAGCATTGATTAGAATTAAATAAAAGTAGCTGTCAAAAGGAAGTTTCGAGTTATAATGTAACAGAATCATGTCTGTGCTTTATCTCCTAATTAGGTCATTTTCTAACAAATTGAATGGTATGTATGAGGATAAGAAAAAAAAAAAGCTGACTGTTATAGAAGTCATGATACACGTGGAAATAGATCTGCAAAGTGTAACTTGGCCTTTGTTACCACAAATTCGTTTAACGGGTCCCACTGACCCAATCTCGCCCATTGGTCCACGCATCCATAGGCTAGATTCTAGCCCTACTAATTTAAATATCTAATAAACTGAGCTTTTTCATAAATAAATATTCCTAACAAAGCGTCTCACAGACGAATTTGGAAATAATTATTCAATAATCCCTAGTGAGTAACGAAACACGACTCTTTAAAATTTTAAACAATAAGCCTAAACACCAAGTTACTGCTTTCTTTTTGCTTCTCTATTATATTATTGTATACACTACTTCCCCAAATCCCACTTATGAAAAATTATACTAAATATATTGTTTGTTGAAGCCTAAACACCAAGTGAGAGAGAGAGTTGGAAGAGGTAGCTACGATAGAAGAAATGGTCATCACCAACGGTATGCCACAAGATTATGTGTCTAACCTTTGAATTGTCAATACTTATACGTTTTAGTTTATGTTTCTTATTTTCAAAGGCATTTCTTAAATGCTATCTCAAAATTTCAAATTCTACTTCACTTTTTATATTTGGTAAATTTTAATTCTTATATTCCTATTTATACTTAATGACATTTCCTTATATAAATGAAATAACATACTGAAAACCACAAGATTTAACTACATTCTTGTTAATAAACAAAATTTAAAAGTCTACTTTATGTTCTTAAACCTCATTTACAATCAAACCAAGACACATTAAATGAAAAGAAAATATTTAAAATTAAAACCGTATAAGTAAAGCTATATTGTAACACCACCAAAGGATGTGGTGCAGTGGATGAAACTGCTACTCCCTTAACCAAAGGTCTTGTGTTCAAGCACTTGATATGGAAAAATTCTTGGTAGGAAACACTAACCCCTCCCCCCGAATGGGGCCCTACCCGGCGCGAATCCGAATATAGCCGGGCTCCAATTCGAGTACCGGACACCGGGTGGGAACCAAAAAAAAAGCTACATTGTAACAACTGTGATAAGATTCAATTATAGTTTGCCACTTACAGCCTACAACGAGCTCGCAAAGGAAAGAGCTTGCAACTGCTAACCTTGCTAAGTTGCAATGCCATCATAAATAAATCACTACTTTGGAAAATACGAGATTCAGTGAAGGTCAATCCTCACGATTGTGTACTGAAATTCAAACTCATTTTAGCAGAAAGTGCAGCTAAATAATTCGATCAGCTCATGTGATGTTTACAACAACTGCTAGCTATAGAAAAATATTACAGGTCTTTAATGTATAATACTACTAATTTTATGAGAATTTATCTTGGAAAATTTACAGGAGGTTCCAGGCTACTCACAAGTATGCCGAAATCTATGTCTTTGTCTTCAAACTTCTTAATGAAAGGGTGGCTCTGAAAGTGACATTGTAGTAAAGTAAGCAGTTGAATATTTAAACACAGCAACTAAAGGAAAAACATGAAAGATGATGCACTGAGTTATACTTACCAAAAGGTCCAAAGCTGAAGATCTATCCCTTGGGTCCTTTTGTATGCTGTGTAAATAGAGCAATGTAGTGAGCTAGATTATCATTACCAAATTTTAACTCCTTGTACTACTTGAGACAACGAAGGGGAGTCTCGGAGCAATGTGTGACCTTATAGGTCACAGGTTCGAGCCGTGGAATCAGCCACTGATACTTGCATCAGAGTAGGCTGCCTACATCACACCCCTTTGAGGTGCCCCGGACCCTACGTGAACGCCGGATGCTTGATGCACCAGGCTGCCCTTTTTTACTACTTGAGACAACAATTAACAATACTAGCCTAATTTTTCCAAAAAGACTGTCCTCGAAACAGGCAGCAAGCAAGATATGAATAGATAATGAGGAAACTAGGAGTTAAACTATTTTTAATTAAATTAAATTTAGGGTGAACAATTAAGTCAGGTCTCAAATTCAAAAACAATGATACACAACCTTAGACTTAGTTCAATCATCAACAAGGCGATATAGAAAGAAAGCAACAGAAGTAAACTTGGTGGGGAATCCATTATCAGCTCCATCTTTGCTTGGCGAGCACAATATAAAGTCTTTAAGACACAAGCAAAAGAAACAGTATACTTACCAAGCGGAAACAAATGAACAGAATTCTGGGGAAAATTGATCTGCTGGAGCAGACGGTGGTGGACTGCTGACAATAGCCTCCAGAAGCTCATAAAAGCTCGGCCATGCTTGCTGGTCCTCCGACTGTATGTATGGAAAACGTCCAATAGCACATTCAAGGATGACCATGCCCAAGCTCCAGATATCACTCTTGTAGTCATAGGTACTTCCACTTATTCTTTCAGGCTTAAACCAGGGTAACGAAGGAGTCAATTTATAGTTGGAAACTAAAAGGCATTCTCGCCAAACTATTCCTAGAAGGAGTTGTTCATAAAATAGCTGAAGTTACTCGTAATGGACTAATTCAAAATAAAGAGCAATTACCAAAACACAGAAGAAAACAACTCTACTGATGTAGGAAGAGGACTTACTGCCATGTAATTGTAAGTCCCAACAAATGTGTCTCTTTGACCCATAGAGCTGGCTAGCATTGCACTTACACCAAAATCAGTAATTTTAACTTCTCCTTTGTGGTTCACTAACAAGTTTGATGGCTTTATGTCTCTGTGGATAACATGTCTCTCATTATGCAAGTAGACAAGACCTTGTAAAACCTGGAAAGAGAACATTAGCAATGAAGAATAAAAGTCATCATCTGGAGAGCAGAAACGTGTTCAAACATTAGTTTCTAGAAAGCCAAGAACCTGCTTGCAAACAACTGCGAGATATGGTTCAAGAATAGTCTTAAGTTGCCTGATTACGTCAGCTAAAGATCCACGGTCCATATATTCAAGAACCAGAGAAATAGCTCCATTGTGATAGAAAGAGTGGTAGCATACAACAACATGTGAACATTGTGACGCTTGATTTATTTTCAGTTCTTGCACTATCTGCTTGCGAATATCTTCCTGTATAGTCATCTGGATAACCTGGGTCAGAGGCAATCACCCGTCAACATTAAAAGAGACGACCAGCATGAAGTTAAATCAAAATACAATTTCCCGGAACAACAAGAAGCTAGTAGACACTTTAACAAAAAGTGGCAATGGCCCAGGAAGCAAGGGTCAAATTGCGGCAAACCATATGTAGATTGTGTAATGAAAGATTCTGCAAATTGTCATTCCAAGAAGAGTTAAGACGCATGTGCTTGTTGATTCTTTTATTCAAATGCTAAAAATGGTTCTCTAAAGGATTAGAATCTATTTTTCACAAATACTTGTTCTTCAACAATTCATCGAAGGAGGATCACTCACATAGCCACTATTCCATGATATTGACATTTACAGAGAGTAATGCGTAAGTAATGCACTTTTCTTGGTCCTAAATATATGCAAACATCAGTAACCAATTAAAAAAGAGGAATGTTAAACATCCTTGCTTGATGAGTACCGACCTTCAAAGCAAACAATGTTCCAATCCATTTATGGCGAACAAGTTGAACAACACCACCACTTCCCTTTCCGATGACTTTGATGGTTTCAAGATCTTCCAACGAGAACTGAAGATCTATCTCCTTAGTTTCTGAGGCCTGTGAACATTATGCACAAGAAATTGAAACTTTCTATCAGATCACAGAATGTCCCATAGTGAATTTTGACTTAACCTAAGGATATACCCGCTAACTAATCAAATAATTAATCCTTAGCTGAATTCAACTTTGAGGAAATAATACAGACAAAAATATGTGCAAATTTACAACAATTAAATTTTTTAAATTTCCTATTCATAATGTCGTAGCGACTAGAGCTACATAAATAACTGAAAATAATCAGAGTAACTTAAAATGGAATAATAATCAAGATGCCTCAGATTGGAGTCTCAATTGAAAATAATTGCAATGTGAAAACATAAACTACAATTAGAAGATGGGGAATTGAAATAAAAGGTCTATTTAGAGAGAAAAAAGGTTCAAGACTTCAGCGCGTGGAGCAGAGTGTGAATACAGTATTCTTCAACTTGGACAGACTCCTTCTTGCTGCTCCTCAGACATGCAGCAAGATAAAGCATCCTGAATCATTTGAAGTTCTCTTGTTTGGGTATTACTAATTTATTACTGCACAAAATTGCTTGTGTTGAATCATTGAGTCTTTCCTTCAATGAGAGGAGAATTTTCCATCAAAAAGCTTACATCTCAAAAGCACGACATAGAAAGAATTGAATGGGTTGTTACAAGTACACTTTCCCATCTGCCCAATGCTCTTTATAGTTTTATATCCTCCCGTCTACTCTTTCCAACATATTGCCTTCTTTTCCTTTTTTTCTGATAGGAGAAAACTCTTGCCAAGTTGTGTGCCAAAAAGTAGAGAACCTACACAGTAATATAGTTCTCTATAAATGAGATCTAATTCTCCATACATACAGGAGAACTTCTTGGGTACACCGAAACTAAGAGTAAGAGGTTATTCCTCAGATTTATTAAATCATTTTCTAAACTCTTAAAAACTCTAGTTCTTCTCTCTAAAGGCCTATTTAGAAATGTCCTCCTTCTAGTTACAGGTCCTGCTATGCGATTGCAACACATCCTTCACTAAGCCCGACATCACCTACTGTACCCAAAAATAATTCAAACGAAACAACCAGAGTGTGAAGCCACCTGGAACCATATTGCCTTCTCCTACCAAAGCTAATACACAGCCACATGAGAAAGTTGATATGCCATCAAAGCATCTGCGATTCATTTCTGTCCAAATACCAAAATATACTTGCTGGGATCATCTGCCAGATCCTCTTGATGGTTCTGTCAATTTTGCGAAGGTTCCAACTTTCAACTGCTTCTTTTATGCCTTGCGGGATTGTCCAACTGATGCCAAAAACTGACAGGAACATGTGCCACAAATCTGCAGCCACTCTGCAGTGAAATAGCCATGGTTTATGGATTCTGAGCTGTCTAGACACATGTAACATCTATTGAAAATTCTTTCTACATAAGTTGTCTTGAGTCAAATAGCACCTTTAAGAGCTATCCAGGTGAAGCACATGATCTTTGTAGGGAGTTTGTCTTCCATATAGGCTTCCATGGCCAAAGTTCAATTACTTCATTGCTAGCACACTATTTCTTGTATCCTGCCTTCACTGAATAACAACCTCCATTGAGATTGCCCCACCTTAGATTGTCTTGAGCTTGTGTGTTCATTTGAAAGCTTTCCAGTAGCTGGATAATCCCAGACCTTATACTGGGATAAACCCCTAATCATTGTAACAAAACGACCCCTAATTGTTTGTATATATTTTCCAACAATTAACTAAGAAAAACTCTCCCCTTTCCTTTACTTTTTCCTTCCACTATATTGCCATCTCCAACCAAAGCTAATAAAGACGCGTGAGAAAGTTTACTGCTTTATCATCCATTTGTTGAAATGAGTTTCTTTAACAAGCAAATACACCAAATGGTACTTAAAGCTTTACTTTCGAAACCTTCATCTTTACCCCTTTAGCACATATCAGTGGATAAAGCTAAGGGCATCTGTGGATTATAGCTGATAGATCTACAATGAACTCAATTAATATGCTAGATGATCTAACCTAGACTCGGGCTAAAGTGCCAAATGCAGTAGCTATGAACCATTTATCGAGATTCTAAATTCAGAACATAGCATCTCCATCAGAGGTCCATCAATAAGGATCTCCATTTTGGCATCTTAGGAACTGTATTTGGAATACATTCTGACGGTTTGGAAACATGCAACAGTAAGGCACCACAAACTGCAAAAAGCAGAGATTCATTCTCTCATGATTGAAAAGTATATCACTAGATTTTTCTGGTCTGGACTTGAAAAAGGAGGCATGCACCACTGGGTTTCCACTTTCCTGGTACAATCTTTGTTTTCCATATGAGGAAGGGGTGCTAACTTCAGGAGACTAGATGACGGTTGTTTGACATTCAATGCTAAACAGAGGAGGAAGTTTAGAACCACTGATTCCATGTCGTCCCAATTCATGAAGGCCAAGTGATGTGGTAGTTCTCATCCTCTCACAGAGGTATGGACCAAGGGTCAGTGAGTCAGTCTCATAGTTGGAAAGCTATGTGTGGCATTAAGGATAGTGCGGACTCTAACATCTCATGGAATATTGGCAGGGGAAACATTAGTTTCTGATTTAATAATTGGTCCACCATTGGTCCTTTATACGAAAAGATCGATGATGGCTTGGCTCAACACAATATTCTTATCAATAAAGTGTTTATAGATGGGCAGTGGGATTGGTCTTGTCTTCATGCTCAAGTTCCAGTCAATATTAAGAGGCAAATTTCTCAAATGCATGTTGTTCTCAATCCAGATGCTGATGACATTCCACACTGGATATGCTCAAGTAAAGGTAATATCTCTGTAGCTACTGCCTGGAACCTCCTCAGACAGAGGACACACACAAATCAATATGACTCCAAGATCTGGCACAATGACTTTCCTTTCAAGATGTCATTCCTAACTTGGAGAGCAATACATGACAGACTCCCCACTGATGATAAGATCATCAGGTTTGGTATCAACTTACACTCAGTGTGCTCATGTTGCATGAGTCCTGGAATGATCAACGGATCCGAGACAGTGGAACATGTATTCTGTAAAGCTATTATGCTCAAAATATCTTGAAATACTTTGTTGGTCCTCTAGGGATTACATACAGAAACGTAAATATGAGAACTCTTATCATCAATTGCTGGAATCAGAGGAATAAGAACTCTGTTATTGCTTATGTGCTTAAAATTCTCCCTCCCTTTGTGTTGTGGCAACAATGGAGATCAAGGTGTAGCTCCAAATATGGAATGGAAAGACCATCTGCTGCTAGATCTATCTCCTTTATAGCTTTCAACATTACTGACAAACTGAAAGCTAAATTTGGTAATACCAGAATTGGTGAAGGCTGGGTTGACATATGCAATCTCAGCAACATTTCTCTCAATGAAGTATCTATTATCAGTGTCGGATGGATCAGCCCCCCAGCCCCCCCCCCCCCCCGGTTCTCTTTGTTAAACTCAATAGTGATGGCTCATGTATTGATGGTAAATGTGGTGCTGGAGGTGTGATCAGAGATTTCAGGGAGAAATTCATTATGGCATGCTCCATCCACTGGGGGATGGTACCAGCAACTGGGCAGAAGCATGTGCTTTAGAGTTTGGTATCAACTGGTGGATACAAAGAGGGCACACCTTAATCATAGGTGAGACAGACTCACTACTCCTGCATTTCTGGTATTTGACCTACCCCCTGGAAGGTTAGAGGTCTTCTAGAATGCTGATAGATGGCAATTTCCTACATTTCGAGTCAAGAAGAGAAAACCAAGCAAGCTTGTTTACGAGCCTCCTTGAAGTAACGGCTTTATTTCCACATTTTTTGTTGTTTTTCTTTTGTGAGGAAGCGTTAGCTGAAGTACTCTCTAACTTAACTTACCTCTATCACATCTTCTAAAGAAGGCGTGGTTATATCCTCCTTTCTTCAAATGTACTCTCTTCAAAAGTAGCAATAAAACTGTGGCTCGTTTAAGGTTAAAAAAAGTGCAATAATAGATTTTGAAATCTATTATTCTCTAAATAAGTACAAATAATAGATTTAGGAACCAGTAAATCAAACGGGCAGGCAGAATTTTGGAACTCAAACCCATAAAGTTCAAATGATGGATCCGCCTCTACACCCAGATACAAGTACAGTAATTATGGATGACACACAAATTCACAACCAATACATAGAACAACCAAAAAGACTTCCCTTCCTCATCAAATATGCAATCTCGTGGACCACAACTCAAATCAACGTGCTAGTCAATCATAGAAAAAATAATGAATTCAGATATCTGAACATAAAGCATTTTGGAATACCTAATGCTCAAACTACACGCAGAGTACATCAGTAACATAAATCACAGCTAACAAAGAGCTAAAAGGAAACTCATCAAAAGTTATTGAAACTGAAAAATAACTAACCGGAGATTCATTCTCTTCAGAAATCAATCTCAGCCCTTTCTGGTTCAAAAGTAAATCGCCGTCGTGAAACGTTCCACTGGCTGTCCTGAATTATAAACAAGCACAAGCATTAATTAATTGTCACTTTTTCGTGAGACATTTAATCACTAGTAAATAAATGGGATTAAAATAAAACGTCTAATACAAGTATATTAGAGGTAATTACAAGAAGCTGGAGATAGGGGTATCTTGAGCAGGTACAGAGAGCTTAAGTTCCTTCAATGGCTTCGTCGTCTTCATTAGTTGATCTCTACGCCTAGGGTTTGGTTGAAAGAGTGTTGAGATTTGAGATTTTAAAAAGTGAAATGGACCGCCCAACTGAGGAGAAAGGTACACTGAATTTCAAACTCACACCAGCGCCAACAAATAATTCTATTACTACAAGACAAGTTTGCCTCTATACCCGCTTATGCATTGTGTCAAAAAAACTGAACGTTATGCAAATTTCTTCTATCTTTTCTTTTAATTTTTATTTTTATCATTTAAGTATTTAAAGCTATGTGATATTTGAATTTGAGTTTGTTTTACTTGATAGCTTTATTTAAAAGGGACTATTGAGTCTATTTTTTTAAATTAAAAATAACCCACAATATTTTTTTTATAAGGAATTGAGTCTCTTTTAAGATTACTGTGAATTATATGTTAATGATCTTTAGAAGGATTAAAGCTAAATTGTAAGACGAATGGAGTGAGAAAACGCGTGGTTCTACCTTTGCTATATCTAAAACGTCACCAGAAAAACCACCTTATTGTCACGTCCTTAGTTTTTAACTAAGTACACGTGTGGCACTTGACAACTCGCTCACGATCTTGCACAGCTTGCTCACGTTCTTGCTATGCCAAGTCAGCCTTGCTACACTCAAGATCGCTACGAGAATGGTAGAAAGAACACAAGCGAATTGTTAAAGAAAGCTTTGTATTAGAGAGAACTTGAATTGTTTGCTTGATGAATTACAAATGAATGGTCCCCTATTTATACTAATCACCTAGGGGCTAGTGTGTAAATAATAATTGTTCCACAAGTCCTTATTATTTAAAAGTAAGTCCCTTCTCTAGAATTTTCTACAAGCCTGGAAGATTCCAAGGACTTTCCTAGCAAATCCATAAGGATCTAGGGTCATTCTAAGGAAATATCCATATTTCTCTAGAATCTTCTCACAAATGCTAGCATTCCTCTTATGTAAGCTTCCACGTGGCATTAATATATGCCAAATGGCGCTAATATGGCATGATGACATGGCGGGTCATCACACTCTCCCCCACCTAATATTGCGACGACCGCGGCGCAATGTTGCTGCATAAACTCTCGGATCTTATCTTTGAATTTCCACAAGTCTTCATATCGTTCCCACGTGGCCTCCTCCGGTGATTGCCCTTTCCAATGGACGAGGAACATAGCGGTGGCTTTTTGCCCTTGTTTTCGCCTGGCCTGGTAATCCATAATAGCCTCAATCTCCTGATCGTGCGAGGCGGTGATAGTCATTGGCGCTCGACTTGATTGTCCCCTACTTGGATCATCCTTATCTTCATGATATGGCTTAAGCATGCTGGCATGGAAGACAGGGTATATCTTAAGATACGATGGCATGTCAAGCTTGTATGAGATCTTGCCTACCTTGGCGACGATCTTAAATGGCCCCTCATACTTGCGAATCAAATTCTAATGCATGCCCCGTAGTGCCTTGAACTGTCTTGGGTTAAACTTCACCATGACCATGTCCCCAACTCTATAGTCCGTGGGACGCCGTTTACGGTCCGCAAACTTCTTCATCTTCTTAGCTGCCTTATCCAAGTAGAACCTAGAGCCTATTTGGATGGGCTTGTTTTAAGTGATTTTTTAAGCCAAAATAGCTTTTAAGCCATAAGTTAGGAATTTTAACTTTTGGTTTTTGGCTTGTTTTTGTCATTTTAGCTTAAAAACAAGTGCTTAAAAGCACTTTTTTACTTTATCCAAACACTACAAAATGGCTTAAAAGCTATTTTAGCTTAAAAGCACTTAAAACAAGCCAATCCAAACGGGCTCTTAGCAGTGTCAAGCTGCTCCTCCCATCCTTTGGCCATATGATAAGCCCCCAAACTCTTTCCCTCGAACGCAGCTGGTAATGAATGTGGAGTTTGTGGTTGTTGGCCTGTGGCTAGCTAAAATGGTGTCCGCCCCGTGGACTCACTCCGCTGCAAGTTATAAGAGAATTGGGCGATGTCTAGGAGCTTTGCCCAATCTTTCTTATGCGCGCTTACATAATGCCTCAAGTAGCATTCTAGTAACGCATTGACTCGTTCCGTTTGTCCATCCGTCTGTGGGTGGAAACTAGTAGAAAAGTGCAGCTCCGTGCCAAGTATGTCGAACAACTTTCTCCAAAAGTTTCCAGTAAAGCGGGGGTCTCGATCACTAATTATATGCCTTGGTAAGCCCCAATACTTCACCACATTCTTAAAGAATAGCTTGGCGGCTTCCTTGGTTGTGCAGCCTGGTGAGGCGGGCATGAAGGTGTCATATTTGGAAAATCTATCCACGACCACCATAATAGTACCATAACCGTCGGACTTTGGTAGACAAGTGATAAAGTCCATAGTCACGCTCTCCCATGGACGCTCTGCAACTGGTAGTGGCTCCAAGAGTCCTCTGGGCTGTTGTTGCTCAACCTTGTCCTGCTGACATACGAGACAAGTCTGCACATAACATTCTATATCATCTCGCATGCGTGGCCAATAGTAGACTGACTCAACCAAGGCCCTGGTGCGGCGTTAGCCTGGATGACCATCCCACATTGTATCATGACTCTCCCTTATGATCCGCCGTCTAATGTCTCCAAACTTAGGCACGTAGACCCGCCGACTCGTGGTAAGCAATAGGCCGTCTTCTACCCAAAAACGTCTCGTCTTACCCTGGTTGGCTAACTCGATAAGTTGTTTGGCTGCCGGATCATGTTGCATGCCTTCTTTTATTGCCTCACGAATGTCCCAAGTTGCTGAAGTGATGGCAGCAAGCTCGGCTTTTCAGCTCAAGGCATCAGCTACAACATTACCTTTGCCCGCCTTGTACTCCAGCACATAATCAAACTCGGCCAAGAAGTCTTGCCACCTAGCCTGTTTTGGTGTGAGCTTCTTCTGCGTTTGAAAGTAGCTAGTAGCCACATTGTCGGTCTTGACCACGAACCTCGACCCAAACAGATAATGTCGCCATGTACGAAGGCAATGCACAATGGCAGTCATTTCCTTCTCTTGCACAGTGTAACGCCGCTCCGTCTCATTTAACTTGCGGCTATCAAACGCTATGGGATGCTTATCCTGCATCAGGACACCCCCTATGGCGAAGTATGAGGCATCTGTGTGCACCTCAAATGTCTTGGCAAAGTCGGGTAATGCCAAAACCGACTCCTCTGTTACAATCGCCTTAAGGTGTTCAAACGCCTTTTGACAATGCTCTGTCCAGACCCATGGCTTGTTCTTCTTCAGCAGCTCAGTCAATGGTGCAGCCTTTGCTGAGTAGCCACTGATGAATCGACGATAGTAGTTAACAAGGCCAAGGAAGGATCTCAACTCTGTTACCTTTGTAAGTGCCTCACACTCCTGGATAGCACGTACCTTAGCCTCATCCATGCGTAGCTCGCCATTGCTAATGACATGGCCAAGAAGTGCACCTTTGATTGTGCAAACTCGCACTTCTCCCTCTTGATGTATAGCTCGTTCTCCCGCAAGACTTGGAAAACTTTCCTTAAGTGCTCCATGTGTTCCTCCAAGGTGTTGCTGTAGATGACTATGTCATCTAGGTAGACTACCACGAACTGATCAAGGTAGGGATGAAAAATCTTGTTCATAAGGGTGCAAAATATGGCCGGTGCATTGGTTAAGCCGAAGGGCATTACCAACCAATCAAAGGCTCCATATCTCATCACGCATGTTGTCTTTGGCTCATCCTCTTCAGCAATGCGAACCTGGTAGTAGCCCTTTCGAAGATCCGCCTTGGTAAAGTACTTGGCTTGCCCAAGTTATCGAACAAGTCAGCAATGAGCGAGATCGGGTACTTATTCTTCAGTGTAACCTTATTAAGTGCTCGGTAGTCTATGCACAAGCGCATCGATCCATCCTTCTTCTTCTGGAACAATACTGGTGCGCCGAAAGGTGCCTTTGATGGGCGAATGTGACCAACATCCAGCAACTCTTTCAATTGTTTCTTGAGCTCCTCTAGCTCGGGCGGTGCCATACGGTATGGGGCAAATGCAGGTGGCTTAGCCCCTGGCTCAAACTCAATCTTGTGATCCACATCTCGCCTAGGCGGCGAGTGCTTAGGCAACTCCTTGGGCATGACATCTTTGTTTTTCTCAAGCAACTTCTCTATGCAAGGCGGCAATGTCTCTTGAAAACTCTTATCTTCCTCTAGACTTGCAATGGTTGCCACGAACGTTGGCTCCCCCTTCTTGATCCCCTTGACAACCTGCATAGTTGAGATTTGTGCTTGGATCTGTCCGTGTGGCATAGTCATTGTAGGTACCATGCAAGCTCCTTTTCGCTCCATAACCAAGAGACGTTGGAGGTAGGGGTCGATCAAAGTATGATAATGTCTAAAGAACTCTTGCCCCAGTATGATATCAAAGATATCCATAGCAGTTACGGTAAAGTTTGTCATACCTTTCCAAGCTCCCAATTTAACACCTACTCCATTAGCTACCCCACGAGCATTTTGTACCTCGGCGTTCACGGTCTTGACGCGAGACTTGGTTGGAGCAAGCTTCAATTCTAGTCTCTTTGCCGCAACCTTAGTCACAAAATTATGAGTTGTTCCAGTATCCACCATTGCACGAGCGGGCTTGTTGTTGATGGTGAGATCCACGTACTGATTGCCACTCTCGGTAGGTTGGATAGCCTACGTTGTGACAGCATCACATAATCCGATCATACCCAATTCTGCGGTTCCCGAACTCTCTCCTTGCGGATGCTCCCTTCGTCCATGGACTATGGCGCTGAGGCTCTTTAGGTCGGGACAATTCCTGAAGCCGTGCGGCCCTCCACATATGTAGCATCCCTTCTTCTCGACCTGTGCCTTCTTCTCGGCGTAGCCCTGACGACCACTCGACTTTTTGGAATCTTGAGTCTTGGAGTATTGTTGATGTATCTCCTTGCCTTTTCCACGATCTCCCCCGCCTTTGACATTGTTAACCTTTGACTCATTGCCATTGCCTTTGTCGTGCTTGTCATGCCTGAAATCCATTAATGATTCGGCCTCCACTATGGCTTGGTCTATATCAGTGACTTGTCGGTGTTGCAACTCCTGTTTCGCCCAATTTTGCAACCCGTCCATGAAGTGGAACAACAAGTCATCATTGGTCAGGTTGGGGATTTGAAGCATAAGGGTAGTGAACTCCTTGACATAGTTATGTATGCTCCCTGTTTGTTTCAATTCCCTAAGCTTGCGCCTTGCCTCGTACAAGACA